GCTACTAATAATGCTTTGTGTTTGCATAAGACATCCCTGTAGTTGTAAAATTGAACATGACATATTGATAACACACTGTAGTCAGTAATTCGTCTTTCCGTGCTGGTGACGTAATTATTTCCACCGGGCAGAACCCCCCCCCCCTCATTACTGGGGAAAAAATTGAGCCGTCGTTTGATTTTTTTTCCGTTTAAAAAGGGGTGGGGGGCAGTATTAGTAGTGATACCAAACTGTGGTATTATAATTACGATCGCTGAGGGTAAAGAGCTGCTTTGCCAGTTCTACCAATATTTTTTTAAATGCCGCTGACTAGCTCTGATAAAATACGTCCACATCCAACGTTCCAGTGCAGTAACAGTGGGATCATGTATTTTATTTTAAAACCATATCGTCTCTAGTTTTCCCCATTTTCACAATCGCCGCGGTTCAAGGGAACAAAACTACGTCACACGCTGTGTAGCAGTCAAAGGGGATGGCAGTGAATAGTATAAATATTACCGGTGACGCAGCTAACTAGGTCAGTGTGACACACAAAGCAACAGTAAGACAATCATCGCCATCAATACCATACTTTGCGGTGATATTTTTATAACCTTTGTCACTCCGACCAACCCCCCACCCATGTGTCCCGTATGCCGCAGCTCTCCTTCATTAATAACCCCCACCTCCCCTTTCAGTGCGCACATAATATAATGAAGGATGGCCCCAACTTTAAAAAAAAATTACAACCAATCGTTTTTCTCGTTCCATTCACTGCCAAATTTTTATTGGAAAAGGCTAGAACTTCAACAAACGAATTTTAATCGGAAATTTTTTTTTTTTTCACCGGCTCTCTGAAAATCGTAGTTTTGGCGGGTCTCGGCGTACAATCGTAAAAGACATCTCAAAATCGTACATTGTACGCCAAAATCGTAAGAGTAAACAGGTCTGTATCCCCCCCCCCCATCCACACCCCCCAAACTGACATTACGAAAATGTGGGTGGCGGTGTTGATTGTATAGATTTAAATATTTAGACCCGCGCCATACACACTATCTCCTAAATCCACACCACTCATTTTGTCTCTGGTTGCTACTGAAAAGTCAGTAGTCAGTGCAGAATGTGCAGTGCACGTATGATGGACCCTTCCATGAAGACCTCAACACAGTAAATTGTGTCTTATATCCAAGCAAGAATATAAACTTTCTTTATCTTTTGTTGAAGCTGATGTTTATCCGTAGAAGTTTCTTCTTCATCATCGGTTTCGCGTGCCTTTCTTTGTGTCGAGGCCATAACGTAAAATACTCACTAAGTGAACTAAACTAGGGGACCGAAAATAAAAAGGATCGCTGATTCCATTAATGGTAACATTAAAATCAGGTGACGTGCACACCCGTCAATGTAGCCAAATTCGAACACCAAAGCTGTTTGGGAAATGGGACATTCATGTATAACATACCCGGTACGCAAAATAAACATTAAAAAGTTTTTTAAAATATTTATACCCCCCCCACCAGCCACACCTTGTCAACGTAAAACAAAGGGCCATCTAATTACGTAAAACAAAGGGCCATCTAACTATTACGTAAAACAAAGGGCCATCTAACTATTACGTAAAACAAAGGGCCATCTAATTACGTAAAACAAAGGGCCATCTAACTATTACGTAAAACAAAGGGCCATCTAACTATTACTTAAAACAAAGGGCCATCTAATTACGTAAAACAAAGGGCCATCTAACTATTACGTAAAACAAAGGGCCATCTAACTATTACCTAAAACAAAGGGCCATCAAATTACGTAAAACAAAGGGCCATCTAACTATTACGTAAAACAAAGGGCCATCTAACTATTACGTAGAACAAAGGGCCATCTAATTACGTAAAACAAAGGGCCATCTAACTATTACGTAAAACAAAGGGCCATCTAATTAGGTAAAACAAAGGGCCATCTAACTATTACGTAAAACAAAGGGCCATCTAACTATTACGTAAAACAAAGGGCCATCTAACTATTACGTCAAACAAAGGGCCATCTAACTATTACGTATTATGTACCAGCTGAGGATGCGTACGACAGATTTGATGGGGGGGGCAATAGACTGCACCTACATTTATGAATACAATAATTATCCTGACAGTCTCTTATAAAGCCAACTGTCATCTGAAAATCTGTGAAATCAGTGAATTCTAATTAGGCCTTTTATTATTATTATTATTATTATTATTATTATTAAGGCTATAAATTTTTTTTACAATATTTCGCAGTAAGCATTTAGGCATACTCATATAAGCTAATGCTTTGTGCTTTCATAAAGAGATCCCTGTAGTTGTAAAATTAAACATGACATAGTGATAACACACTATGGTCCAGTAATTCGTCTTTCCGTGCTGGTGACGTCATTATTTCCACCGGGCAGAACCCCCCCCCCCCTTTTTTTTCATTACTAGGGAAAAAAATTGAGCCGTTGTCTGAATTTTTCCGTTTAAAAAAGGGGTGGGGGGTAGTATTAGTAGTGATACCAAACTGTCGTATTACGATTGGTTTTGCGAGTTCTACCAATAGTTTTTAAATGCCGCTGACTAGCTCTTATAAAATATGTCCAGTTCCAGTGCAGAACATTTTATTTTAAAAACCATCTCGTCTGTAGTTGTCTCTCGTCTCTAGTTGTATCCGTTTTCACAATTGTCGCGGTTCAATGGAACAAAACTACGTCACACGCTCGGTGATATTTATTTATAGCCTTTGACACTCCCACCAATCCCCCATCCATGCGTCCCGTATGCCACAATTATCCTTAATCAACAACCCCCACCTCCCCCCTCAATGCGTGCATAATATAATGAAGGATGGTCCCAACTTTAAAAAAAAATTACAACCAATCGTTTTTCTCATTCCCATCACCAGTAGATTTTTATTGGAAAGGGCTAAAACTTCAACAAACGAATTTTAATCGGAAATTATTTTTTTTTTCACCGGCTCTCTGAAAATCGTAGTTTTGGCGGGTCTCGGCGTACAATCGTAAAAGACATCTCAAAATCGTACATTGTACGCCAAAATCGTAAGAGTAAACAGGTCTGCTCTTATATCAAAAAAAAAGCAGTTTGGGGGGGGGGGGGAGAGATCCTGAAAATGACACCTTTTCAATATATAGAAAAAAGTGCTGCCCAGTGCCGAACGGTTAAAATGACAATTTTTGGCAAACCTCGTCTTTGTGAAGCACGAGATTTATTAAGGTCCTATCTTTAGACTATTTTGTGCGCCACTAATGTTGGCGCCTGGGACATGTCCACCTTTCTAATGGTCCCAACTGAGAGCAATGGAACACTCCAAGGCAGCACATATTTTAGGGAACCACCAGGCTTGCCAAACAGACCGTGATGAAAACCCGTGACACCCCGATTGTCTGTAAATCAGTTGATTTATTGATGGTGTGTGCACGCTCGAAAGCTCTTGGTAAGTAGGTATGGGGGGGTGTCCAAAAAAGTAAGTGTGCAACCCGGGGAGGGGGGGGGGTGACTTTTTTGTGTAAAAACTATATGGATGGTCCATGAGCTAAAAGAAGCAATAAATAACAATCTACCCAAATAAAAACTTTAACATTCTATATATAGACAAGAATAGGACTGTTACACAAGACAACTCTGCAGTCTTATGCTTAGAGTTTGGCCAATTGCATTTACACAAGACAACTCAGTAGTCTTATGGGCCCATCCAATTTTTACATTTGCACTGAGGGGGGAGATGGGGTTGATCTAGATTTGAGCACACATCCATATGGGGATGCATATGGGGAGGGGGCTCCACAACAGAATGTTCATGTACATTTATGCATGCATTCTGCAAGTAACAACTAAGTCTTCTGTTCGCCTTTGTATGTTTCCATGTAATTTAATTATTTAAATTAATTGAACCAAAAATTATTTTCACTACCTTAAACACACAGTGGTCCCAAAAAGAGGAAAAAAACTTAACATACTTTTAAACTACATTTATATTGACTTCGTTAAAATTTGGACTTCAAAAACGCTATTTTTATATAAAAGTTGTGATCTGACCAATAATGTATTGTCATAAATGACTGGGGCGGGGGTTAACAACAGAGCTCCATTGTTCTTCAGATAAGTTATGGGGTGGACGGAAACTGCTGTGAATTTGGGGAGAGAATTGATAGGCACAAGTGGTAAGGTTAATAGATTCTCGTATCTTTTAGATTAGGGGGATGTTTCTTTCCAAAACATTATGTCTCGGTTTTTCCAGACTTCGCGTGACAATTTTGTTGTTGACGACGGAAGTTCCTAATTGACCAGAAATGAGGGGGGTATGGATGGGTTAATTGCCAGCATTCCTTGACCACCTAGGGAGGTAGAGAATGGTATATAACACAGAACTTTTCGTGACATAGGAGAGAGGGAGGGATTCGCGGACGGTCGTTCTGTTGTGACAGACGTAGTGTTACTAGCTGTAATCAGAGATAGAATTAGGGATAGATAGCGAAGTGTTAACAGTTAGAAAAGAGACATGACAATCTTATTATAGTGATCAATACATCTTTTACTTATAACCGTTAATGAGGAGTGGTTTAGTCATTCATTAGTGTTCTGTGTTCTCTTCATTGTACTTCTCAACGCCTGGACTAGTGAACCTTCACAGCGAGGAACTGTCCCGTACTATTCACAACACCACCAACGCCACGTGGTACATGACCTTAAGTACGGGCCACACCTTATAATACCATCTCATCTGTGACATGTATGATGTAAACATGCTAGAATGCGCCGAGTTATTTATGAATGTTTCTTGTTAAATGTTGCTATGTTACTTAAATGCCTTTTGCGTCGTGTGAATAAAAAGGTGAACGTCGGTGGCCGCCGCCATCTGCAAGAATTGTGTGGATTAAAGTGTCAAGAAATATCTTAGACCAAAAAGAACCAGAACAACCAGAACATTACATGATAACAATCACATACAAGATATGACTTAGACCAAGCATAACCTAGCCCATAAAAAGATACTTTACATACCATTGTGGTGAATGGGATCGCCCGTGAAGCATGGTAGTAGATTGCTATGAAATTTATAAAGAATGCTGTTCCACATATTGCTGCTGGCATCATGAAGGCGCTAACAATCATTTGCTTGATCCATAATTTACCTTGCAAAGATTAAAAAGTAACAGGGGATGAACATTTAACACATTTAATATAAAATAATTGGATTAAATTTAAAGCATTTAATCCAGTCACATTATTATAACAACCTTTGCTTTAAGCCATTCTATCTTAGCAAATGGCCATATACTTCATTTGGTTGTAGAGTTGTTGAAAAAATAATTAACTAATATTTATATGTATCTATATGAATATAATACATTTTTTCGCCACTTTATCCAATTTTCTATAATTTTTGTACTGCCATAACAATATAATATATATCTCACAACACAGCTAGAATTAAAAATGAACCTACAATAATCAGGATAACATAGATTGACTTCATTGAAACATACCTCCCATTCTTGCATACAAGCTTCCCCCAAAGTAACCATTGACAGGTGATGTGGCAGCATATACAAATATTGCGGTACTTAGCAGAGATCCTCGCCTAGTAAATAAAAAGTGAAAATACCTAAATGCTTTAAGAAATACTTTAAAAATTATCACACAGCTAATATTCAATGGTAAAAATAAAGTTATTGGTGAAATTAAATGTGATTTAAACTCAAATTCAGTTCAGCCTAAAATAGAATTTATAGAACTAAGACTTAACAATTGAAGATGTCATTTACAAAACCTAACAAGCAACTGGAGATTTATTTTTTTAGGAAAAAGCTGGTTTAAAAAAAAAAAAAGAATCAATATCCATTTATCCAATTTCCCTGTAACATATTATAATCTGATAACTACCACAAGATGTAAATGGGTGAATGGGGGGGGGGGGGGGGGGGGGGGGGGTGCCACCCAACCAATCTTATTTCTTTATCCATTCCCCGCTGGACGCAGAAAGGCGCAAAAATCAACATTAAAATATGTCACAAAATTACTCCATACAGAATCTAAGCAAACGTCTCATTGAAGATGGCGTCAGTGGGTCGTCAAACGTGAGCTCTTAATAACCCCCTCCCCGGCACACCCCCACAAGGGCCGACACCGTAGACCTCCCCGCTGGCCTGGGGGACATCCGGTCGACTGAAAACACTGCGTTTAAAGCATTCGTGGCTCACTCTCCTTGGGTCTGAACGGCTTTACTTCCTCTCCAGGGAAAAGGTGTTGCGTTGCCTCCCCCCCCACCGCCCAAGGAGTTGTCTGGTTGGGATGTAGCGGGGACGAAACGGAGGATCTACTAAAACTTTCACTAGAGCGACTATGCTAAGATTACTGTTGGTGCGTCTAGCGAGTTCATTATGAAAACACAAAGCAACAATATGACCACCATTACAAAAACGTGGTATTTTTATAGACTTAAATATTTAGACACCCCCCCCCCTCCACAAAAAACAAAAAAAAAACATATACAAAATATACTTAATAAATACCACCATTACAAAAACGTGGTATTTTTAAAGACTTAAATATTTAGACACCCCCCCCCCCTCCACAAGAAACAAAAAAAAAACATATACAAAATATCCTTAATCAACACCACCACCTGCCCCATGGCACACATAATATAATTATAGATGGTAAACGTAATATAATTATAGTTGGTCCCCAACCAATCTTATTTCTCTGTCCATTCACTGCTGGACGTAGAAAGTTGTAAAAACTAACATTTAAATATGTACTTCTTAATATATTTTTTTAATCGGAAAAACTACTGGAATGTATATATTCACAACCAGATCTCTTCAAAATGTAGTTCTGACAGGTCTTGGCATACAATTGTAAAAGACATCTCAAAATCCTACATTGTGTGCCAAAATCATAAAAGTAAACAGGTCTGGCATTCCACAAGCACAGGGATAAGTTCCTTTCAGCACTTTATTATATCTGCATAAGCAGCTATAGAAACAGCTTCTACCCACATGACTCTCCCCCCCCACCCCAGTGAAAAATTATTTTATAAGACGGTAAACCCAATATTATCAAGACTGATGATATTGTATAGCATATTGATTTCACAAAATATGACTTAAACAGGCTATTTTCAATTATAAGTTTAAAATGTTTATCTTGAACTGACTAAGCAAATATAAACATTTAGGTCATTCAACACAAACAAAGCTCATGTGTAAGACTTCTGTGTGGTATCTGCTAGGAGAACTAGATTCTATCCCATTGATTCAACTGACCGCATATTTTAAAAACTAGAGCTGATAACTGTAAATTAAATGCAGGGATAAAAGCCAAGGTACCTAGAAAAATTGGGGGTTTTTGAGGTTTTTTTTGTTGGCATGCGTAACAGATGTAGGGATTAATCTTTCTTATTTTCCAGATCATTCATGGGTAATCTAATCAACAAAACATTTATGGTACACCAAGGCAACTAAACTTTTACTTTCATTTTACTGTTATAAAAACAGAGTAGAAAGGTTTAGGGTAAACTTTATAGATTAGAAATGTTACTGTTATAAAACAGTGTAGAAAGGGTTAGGGTAAACTTTATAGATTAGAAATGTTACTGTTATAAAACAGTGTAGAAAGGGTTAGGGTAAACTTTATAGATTAGAAATGTTACTGTTATAAAACAGTGTAGAAAGGGTTCGGGTAAACTTCAAAGATTAGAAAAAGGAGAAGGGATTTTCTTTAAAACATTTATACTTACTCTGTATAAAGCTCACCAACTATAGTAAATAAAATGACACTCAGAGTAACAACAGCAATATGATAGCCTGTTCCAATCAAAGCAGAGAAGACAAGAGCATTCGATGCAGGTCTAAACACATCCCCGTGGACTTGTTTCCAACCATACTCATCACCCAAATCCTTTTCCTAAACACAAAAATCCATGAAAAAGCAACCTAACATACAAACAATAAGGATTTTGCAGATCTTTCAATATTTTTTACTTATAAAACAAAGTTTCAATTTTTTTAAATTTAATTCATTTTCATAACAAATTTCCCCAAATAAAATCTTATGTGAATTTCTTACAAGAAATATGAAACAATTAAAAACAATGCCCACTAGGTGAATTGATTGTTACCATGTCATCCAGGTCTTCCTCCTTGCTGTAGCGGGCATAATCCTTACGTAATGTGCGCATTAGAATCATGCTTACAAGCCCCACAAGGAAGATCACCATCATAAAGGAATTGAAAATGCTGAACCAGTGAATCTTTAGACACAATTAAAATTAATTGTATATTTTGGATCATTAATAAGAATGGAAACACTGTTATAGTAGATAAGGGTTGAAATGATTTAGTGATAAGAATTGAAACACAGTAACAGAAGATCAGGGTTGAGATGATTTACTGATAAGAATTGAAACACAGTAACAGAAGATCAGGGTTGAGATGATTTACTGATAAGAATTGAAACACAGTAACAGAAGATCAGGGTTGAGATGATTTACTGATAAGAATTGAAACACAGTAACAGAAGATCAGGGTTGAGATGATTTAGTGATAAGAATTGAAACACAGTAACAGAAGATCAGGGTTGAGATGACTCAAATCAATTCAAATCAAACTCAAACCCGACCAATAAAAATCATGATTATGTATAAAAAAAATTGATTTTAATTATGTTCATTTATCAAATATATTGCTAACAAGACAACTTCTGTTTGTATGTATCATTAGTCACATAATATATTATTTCTTCATACATAAATGATTAAACAATTTTATAATAATACATTTCTTTTTATTCAATTAAATTTTTCAGTCTTTAGAAATCAACATGGGTTGAGAAAGCTGGAAAATTAGTTTTTCTATTCAAATTATTTTATTTAATCAGAAGGCTTGATGGAATTGAAGGAGATTGGTAAATGAGAATATTATGTCGTGGATAACTTGAAAGTGTGAAACTGAATTAAAATTCTTATCCTTATATAGATTAGCTAGAGACCAGAATATTAAGACTACAACTATCATTTATAGTAAGTTTTTATATGTTTTTTAAAGTGAATTATTTGTTATTTTATAATCATTTGTATTAGAATATAATGAGCAATTTCAATTTTGGAAAAGTATGAAAATCCTTTTGATTTAATTCAAATTTAAATAATTTTTTCTAATATTTTTCTTAAATTTAAATCATATATAAAAATCAAATTTAAATCCAAAAATTTGATTCAACCTCTATTAACTACATTATGTTTAATCTTTATAAACATTAATATACTTCAAAATCTAAAGAAATCCTTTTAAAAAGAAGACAAAAAATAATAATTTTAAAATCCTTTTTAAATAACAACTGTCATAGATGCACAATTTTTTTTTTTTAAGTTTCCAAAGAGCATTTTTTTTTTTTTAGGAATATTTAACGATAACTTTGAATAGGATTATTGGTTGATGTATCTTTACAAAATGAAAATCATTAAGACTTCAAAGTGAAGTCCCAACATTTCCAAAATTATTTAATGAACTATTTACCAGCCATTAAAGGGGTAGTTGCTGCACCATAGTGAAACTTAGAAGAGTATGCAAATCTATTAGGTCATTTCCTCTTACATGAAAAGCCAAAAGAGCCACTAACACATTTATGTTATATCAATTATGAAAAAATGGCAAATCAAATTATGAAAATGTGCTTCAATTTCCATATAGTCAAATGTGTGAAAAGTATAAATTTACCCTGTGTTGGAAAAAATTGGGATCTAGGTACTTGTCAAATCTGTCTTCAAAATTGATTTTAGAAGCCTGCCATTTCACCTGTAAAATAATCAAATTAAATAATAATAATAATAATTAGTGGTCTTATATAGTGCGGTACCCCAGCCTAGGGCTGGGGTCACCGCACTGTAATAAAAATATTAGCAAAAGAGACATAATCATGACATTAAAATAAAATACATTTATGAAATAAAGAACAGCGTGTCAAGCCACTGTAATGGCCAGATTTCTTTTTAAATAATTTAAATCTCTACTATAGACTTATAACTGAGTATGAATATTTATTTCAATTATTTTAGTAACTCATTATTTAAGAATAAGAGAGAGAAAAAAAACTATTTTCAAATGTCATTTAATAAGAAATTGTGAAATTTGTCTGTTTTATTGATTGTTCAAACTTGTTCAAAATTCTCAAATTAACAACAAAAAAATCATAAATTAGACACAAGATGAATGAACCGTAAGATACCAACCCTGATTGTGGTGGAAGTAAAAAAATATTTTAAAAGTAAAAATGAAAGATTCAGATCGCCACACTTGTCTAAAGGCCATTGGCTAATGTATTGCCCATCACAGGTCTATTTAACTGAGTGCCTGCTTCATTTACTCATAACTTCTTGGAATTTTGTGATTTTAAAAATACTTAGCGATATCACTAAGTTAATAAAAACATTTTTTTGAAATAATAAACTTGCTAGACAGGGCAATTTCCATTACAGTTAAGTACAATTTGTGAAAAACACATGTAAGAATGAGGCAAAATTGAGAACAACATTTTCACATTCATTGTTTTAGAGTGAAGACTAAACCAAATTCAAAATGTTAAGTTGCGAATGTTTTTCCTAGGAAATTTTTTCTGTCGTTTTAATTTTTTTAAAATTCAAAAATATACTTATGCACTATGGTGGTAATTAGGCAGTTCTCATTTTTTAAGTTTGAAATTTATCTCTAGTTTTCATATGATAAAAAAACAACATCTAATTCTTTTAAAAGATATTTACAAACCTCATAGGTAAATGGAATTTTAATCCCCGGCTTCAACTTCACTTTGGCTTCTGAGGTAAGATTTACATCAACTATATAGGGTCCATTGTAGCCAATATCAAATTTCTTGTGAGTCCATATGTAATGACCATCACCCCCTTCATCCACTTCGCCAACAATACCTGTAAACATTTTTTTATTAAATAATTAATTAACGCAACTAGTTGGGAGAGCCAAGAAACATACTTGATAACCTACTGGGACCAATGAAGTGATATGATGCAAGACTTTTAAACAGGATTATTTTTTTTCTCAAACAAATTTATTTTTTTAAAATTAGATTGTATTTCAAAATGACGCTGCTGCTGTATTTTTTTAAAAACTGAATGCTGATGTAAAAACATAATGTAAAAAATAATGTTAAAAATATGTAATGCATAGCTAGATGTTACTAAGTACTCAGTGGGTGCTGAGTTAATCCCAAGTTGGCGGACTTTTTTGATTCAGACACATTTTGAATTCATTATTCATTAAACTTTTTTAAAATGTTTTAGTTACATATGGCCTGCCATTATTTCGATAAAAATGACTGCATATTTAAATGAATAGTTGGTGTGAAGCATCACTGGTTTGCATATAAATTGCAACTTACCCAATGAAATAAAATGATATACTTGAGCATGCAAATCATGAAATCAATACAAGAGTTTGAAATTTATAAAAACAAAAATTCATTGTGAATTCCAAAAAAAGATGGTCCTTTATAATTTCTCATTTAAAAAAAAAAATAATTGCCTCATTAATGGTAAATAAGATATTAGAAATACATGTACCAGCATTTCAATGGTAGGACAGTGGCAGCTGCTATGTACTATTTTTAGCTCTAATGGCGCCATTTTTAAAAGTGAAAAGATGTTTTCTATTCATTTAAATTTCACCCTTTTACCCTTTTACCCTTTTAATTTCTCTTATAATTCTGATACAAATAATAAATAATTTGATTATGTCTATTGATAAACACATGTAAGACCACCTTTTCTTTAGGAGCTGCTTGGCCACTAAACTATTGCATCCTTCTAAGCCATGTGACTAGGCAACTTAACAAACCCACTTTCCATGGTAGCAATTAAAGGCTCATGTTTCTGTCTTGGTACATGATTAATGCTTCTGTTTATTCATAATGTTATTGTAATAACAACAAATGACCTAAATGTTATTGTAATAACAAATGAGTCAAATGTTATTGTAATATAAACAAATGATCCAAATTTTATTGTAATAACAACAAATGACCCATGGTGCTCGATCATTGCAATTAATTAGTAATTAGTTTCCATAAAGCACTTACAATTTTTAACTACAAAAGTTACTTCAAAGCAAAATAAATAAATACTTAATAAACAATTAGCGACCTATCAATCTGCACTGGTGCTGACGGTTAATTATTAATTTGCAGATATGCTATTGGTGCAACCCTACGATTTAAAAAAAGTTCAAGATGGCCCTAAAAAAATTGAGCTGGTTGGATTTTTCTCATCAATCTTAATCATTTCAAAGGATTTTAAAATCTACTTACCCCATATTGGTAAATCATCAATATACATTTGATACCAGTAATGATTCTCGACTGCATAGATAAACGCCTGAAAATTTTCCTCCGACAGCTCTATTGAGCAGTACTCAGTGTGACTAAAATCACCTATGTACAAAAAATTCAAAACAGAAGTTGTTAATGGCTCTTTGGTGGACATGAAGGATTGTTAGAATTTCAGGCAGAGTAAAAGAATCTAGGATTGAAAATCCTTGTGTTTCCAGCTACTTCATGGTATGAAAATGGATATGTCACACAGTCCCAAGTTTATTTTCTAAGTTCTGCAGTTCCTTTGTAATGCAATCAAAAAAATAGTCCCTTTATTTTTTTTACAGTTCTAAAATTCATTGTTATTTTCGTTGTGAGGTTGTAGTCTTTATCAAACAATTCATAGGTGGTGCGGATTACAGAAAAGGTTGGGAAACACCACTTTACCTATTTTATGTAGCTTTATAGTCTTTTGTTGTATTGTTTGGACTGTATGTCGATATATCAGCTTTGTGCTATTAAATCTCATTTTTGTTTCAATAAAGATGCACATTAGAAATGTAATTCGTCATGATTACATTGTACATTTCAATTTTCAGGATATTTTGAAAAAAACTTTCTCATTACTTAAAAAACATTATTCATCCAAATAAATAGAAATGTTTTTTTGATTATATTGCACATATTCAGTTTCACCACATGAAAAGTAAATATTCTAACCAAGCCATTTTATAACAAGAACAATTTACACAAGACAAACAAAGTGTTTCTTTTGGTTAAGATCAGCCATCATATACCATAAAACTTAACTTCCTTAGATACAAAATGATTTAATTGGGTGATCTTTTAGATTTTTTAGCCAAATATAAACTCGTAATTTTCAAGCACAAAATGGTGCCTTAGTTTAATTGCACTTTCCAACTTCTACTAATGGCGGAACCATATTAAGACAAACAAAAGTGTCATAAGATTCTTTGAGCGATCCAAAGAAATATATATGTGTGTAGATTAGGGATTTCTTGGGGAAATCAGGATTTTCTGATTATTGAAACTAATAATCCAGATATCCATATTTAATTCGAATTTTTAAAAATTATTTAATCTTTTGGTATTTGGTAATGAACACTTCCTGCATAATGTAGAAGATTAAATGCTAGAAAATCAAAAAGTTTTGTAATTAAAATAAATTAGTTTGAATTAAACACTTATACATAACCAACCAGACACGTAAAAGTAACATCATCATCTTACTCTTACTAAATACGAAGTCTCTATCATTAGGAACTAACTATGTACTAAATTTAACTCTTAACACTTTATATCCACAAGATGACGATAATAGGCCACAACCAATTTCAACCTCTATATCCACAGATAGCCATCTGTATAGCATAGCAACAAGAAAAATGTATGATTTATCTCCCCTTGCCAGCGACCTCATTTTAAACATGTTTACATCCTTCCAAAATGGTTGAATCCCAACATTTAAATGAAAATAACTTGTTTAAAGTCAGATTTTTTCAAAGTTTTTTTAACACAAATCAAAAGTAATTTTGTAAAAAGGTGGATGGATAGGACTTGTTAACCTATGATGGCAACTCATTTAAAAGAATGCAAACTCTGAAATCAAACAAAATACAGCTCAAGTCAAGGCTACTCCTCAAGACTTCACATGCTGTAATAAAATAGATTCCTGTATTTCAATTCAAGTAGTGAAATCAATATTGTTCGCCTTGAAAAAGTTATTGAGTCTCCAAATCTGGTTATCCTGGAATGCCCAAAATAATAGAATCTCATTTCAAAATAGCACTTAGCTTTCTAAAAATCATACAATACTGTATGGTAATAGTTAATAAATAAAATTCAGTATGATGTATGCAATAACTATTTGCATTGCATGTCATCCAAGCTCTTTAGCGTGGACCTGAATTTAGTTTTGCATCATTCTGCACTTAATGCATGTGGAAAATGAGGTTCATGTTACCTAGTTGTGTGTATACAAATCCTTTACTACTGTAAGTAGCTACTTAATAGTATCATTGATTTGTAATTTTCATTTAACATTTCAGCTTACTTCTTTTCATCTATTCTAAAAAATAAGTTTCAAAAGGGGCAGGTAAACAATAAGTTGAAGAGTGGGTGCAATAAGTTCACAAGCCCGTTGAATGTGTTCATTTTTTCTAGATTTCAAAACTATGTCTTCGCTATTAAAAATCACAATCAACATTTCATCTCAAAAATCCAAATACTGACCTGGATATCGACTCCCCTAAGAAAATCCTGAATGTCCGGATTTTCAAAATCTTAATTATCTTGATCGCCATCAATAGGTTTGATTACACTGTACATATCACATAAAATAAGAAATATTCGAATTAACTTAAATTTGATATCTCACCTTTAAAATCAATATCTATTCCACTGAAATCAAGCTCAACGCCTAGTAATGCTTCACCAAGAGTTTCATGATAATGACTAATACTAGCCTTTTGCCCTCTGCAAAATGGCAATGAAAAGTAGCTGTATGTTTCTTGTCTGTTATGATAAGGGCCAACAGTGTTCATCCAAAGTACAACTTCCTCACCTTCTTTGTACTGTAAAAACATGATTATTTAAAATTATTTACAAATTATTTTTATCTTTGATCGATAATAAATGTGAATATCCATTTATGCACCAATTAAAAAAATCTCACCATCCAAACAGGTTGGAAATGATGAAAACTCAGCAGTGAATTTTGAAGCTAGTCAGTCATCAAATTGAATAAGTAAAATTATACGTAATACGTTAAAATTATATTGTATTATACTGAAAAATCTACTTGCAATGAGTTTTCTTTTACCCTATTATAACAGTGGTTCTTAACCTGGGTTCGATCGAACCCCAGGGGTTGGGTGAGTCAGTCTCAAGGGTTCGGCGGAGGTCAAAAAAAAAAAAAAACAGAAATAAATCATATTTTATTTTTCTTATTAAGAAGGGCTCGGTGAATGTGCATATGAAACTGGTGGGGTTCAGTACCTCCAACAAGGTTAAGAACCACTGCTCTATAAGAAAGACCTTGTTTTAAATGTATCCAGGGCTGCAGGTCTCCTTTCTTAAAAAAATATGGTCAGGACTCAAAAAAATTTTGGCCAGTAGTTTTCAAAGATATTTACTTAATTTGAAATAAGAACTTGCCCAAAAAAATTTATTAACTTAATTACCAAAGGTATGTGCTGAACTCCTTAAACTAGAACCTAGCGGGATTTGGGGGTGAGATAAGGATTAAACCAAAAATAAATGCATGAGTTGCAGTGAGATTTTCGTCCAATTGTGGAATGGTACTGGGAAAGTAACGAGGAATTTTAAGTAAGAAATATGGTACCTAAACCTATAGACGATTTTAAAAGATCTTCAAATGAAGAAAATAAAACAGGTGCTAACATCTTGAATAACTGACCACAATACATACCCGAAGTATATATGCTGGTAGTTGAAATAACATAGTGGAGAGGTCAGATAATATCAAAGAAACTGTCCAAGGTAAATAGTGTTTTTATTCTTTGCGAGTAAGAAGGTTCACATATATGAGACAATGCCTACCCAATGTGTTTTGTGAGATATAACTTATATTAATAGAAATTAGTGGGGGCAAAAAGCTGTCAAGCAGAGAGTGTCATACTGTGATGGTTGAACTTAGATAAAGAGGGTGACTTTTTTTTCTTTAAAGGGGGGGGGGGGGGGGGGGGGGGATATTTTAGTAATCAATAAAGAGCTATGGGTATGGTGTAGGAATGTCTGTAGAAATATTGTTTAAAGGCCAGCAGGTAGGGGGCATGACTGTCTGTAGGCCTATTGTTTAAAGGCGGGCATATATTATATCAAATGAGAAGTTAACTCCATTTTGGTAACATTTGGACTTGTAGGTCAAGATGTCCCCAATTGTGAACATATTGAAGAATACCACAATTTTCTGACAAAATAGTCCTTTCATTAATGTAAAAGTAAAAGCACCAACGTCCAAAAATTAAAAAGTCAGATTCTCCTTCACTGACTCCCATTTCTGATACAAATTTTGAAGGAGTCTTCCTTGCCGCTTTATATTGGATCAAAGTAGCATAGATGTAAAAAATAACTATTATCAGATAAAAGTTATTTTTTACATATTACATTCACAGGTTAAACTCATATGTTCGAGATGATGGCCCACCAGGTCCCATTGTTAACTTTCTACCAAACAGAAATGTCAACAAAGGGATACAGATTATTCACCCAAATGTCAAATGACATATTCAAGACATTTTTCAAACTGGATTTGGTTGAACCATTCTGAATAAACCGATTTTATGAAAAAAAATATGGCTAGTTAATTTATGAAAAAAATACGGCTAGTTAATTTTTTTTCTTCTCTTCTTTTCATCTAAAGATCTGATCACAAAAACAATTTATACCATATTATAATATGATTTTCATTTTCATTAAAAAAGCATGCATCATATTTCTCACAACAAGGGTTGAAATTATATGCTTAGAAACAATTTTATAGAAGCCTCATGCATTTCCCTACAAATTTATATCAAATTTTAGACTTGCATTGTAAAAGTAATGGACTTTTAAGTTGTAAGTAATCGAAATATTTAAGTAGGCCTAATGATTGATAATGTAAAGTACTGCCCTCCTCTAAAATAATAAATAATAATTGTATTTATTTAATTTAAGTAGTAATATTAGCCCATTAGTTAGGCCTATAAAGAATACTTATAACTTATACAATAGACTATTTATTCAAGACTGTTCTTTTCATTCCTTATCTCCAGGGTCCAGGCATTGATAAGAAGACCCAACTTTTTTACTACTCATACTTTACTTGTACCGGTCTTCTCATTTATGACTAGCGCGGGGGGGGGGGGGGGGCCCCTACCTTTTTTTTTTTTTTTTTTATTTTTTTTTTTTTTTTTTTTTTTTTTCACTCCTGGACTCACTAATAAAATGATAATATTATGATTATCAATCAAGAGTAAGATTCAAGTGAAAGTCAAAGTCAACAAAGCACCACTTTCAGTCAATAGTTATATATTTACTAATTAGGTACATCTATGTCTAAGCTATGTTTTAGTTTTCCATTTTAACAATATTCTGTATGGGATTTCTTTAACTGAGTTCTCCTTACATTAATAATGCATATACTGTTATTAACAGAGTGTTATGGTTAAAAATCTGAGTTTAGCCTCAATCTCGATATCTCCTTAGTAACCGTCTACTTTATAAACTTACTGTATGATCGTGCTCATCGCATCCGACCAATCGAAGCAGCATAAGTATACTTATATATAAGGTGTATGATCTCTTCATACTGAGAAATTCCATGTCTCGATGATACGAAATTTCTTAGGATAATTCTGATTGTATTTGTTTTAATGACGACAGTTCGCCACCGTTATGGCCGTGTCCATTGGCCACGTATATCTTCCAACAGATGGCGCTATATACGTTATAAAGGGCCTCAACTCGATTATTAAATATTTAAAAATAAAAACTAATCTTTTCGAACTTCTTAATTTAATTATTAAGCATGCAGTTAGCCAAAATGCATCGTCTAATGAGGTCATCTCATTAAGAGGTACCACGGACAAACTGGACATACTATCAGTGGTCAGGGGCCATCCAAACATGACGTCGATCGTTTAGGGGTGGGGGGTCACAATTTTTTGGTTTGACGCATGATTAAGGGAGGGCGATGGGGACAAGCTCCCCACCACCCACCTGAATTTGTAGACATGTAGGAATCTATTTTACTAGGTATCAGTATCTAGAACAGCAGACAAGGAAACGTAGCAACAACAAAAAGAAAACAATTCGATCATTTAAATTAACAATTAAAAAATCAATCAAACTCTGGCAATTCTTATTTAAATAGCTATGTTAAACTGTGTAGGCCTACTGATTACTGTGGTACCTCCAGTAATATTAAGCAGTAAAAAACAACCCAACAATAAAATACTCTCAGGGACCTCATGTCATCTTTTACAAGTTGCTTTTTTTTTTTTTTTCTTTTTTTTTTTGATCCAGTTTAATTGAAAGATAAGGATTTTTAAAAAAAAGGTAATCAAAGTCATACTCGTATCAGTCAATAAAGTTATATATTAACTAATTAGGTGTTATTTTGTTTTTTTTTTTTTTTCTTTTTTTTTCTGATCCAGTTAAATTGAAAGATAAGGATTTTTAAAAAAAAGGTACTCAAAGTCATACTCGTATCAGTCAATAAAGTTATATATTAACTAATTAGGTGTTACACCTATATTAAAGTTATGTTTTAGTTTTCCATTTTAGCCTTAATATATATGAGATTTTGTTATCGTAAGCTCCTTATAATAATAATGTATAAATTATAATCAAGGAATTTTTACCCCCACCCCCCCACCCCACGGCCGTTCCCTTTCCGGGGGAATTTAGTGCATATGACAGGTGCATCGCTATTTTAAGGTTCGTTATTTACAGGCTTCACTGGGCCAAAAAGCACTACTGCATCTTTGATAAAATGTATTCAGGGTGTTGACCTTTCAGGGCATCTGTCAGAACGAAAACATAACCTGAAATCACTGCGATTGTGGCGTGCCCCACCGTATTCTTTTGATTCCAAATTAGTTTCACCCCCGAACTGTCCTATTGATTGCCGTGGGGAGGGGAGGGAAATAACACAGCAATCGAGGTCTCCCGAGGGGGAGGGGAGGGAAATAACACAGCAATCGAGGTCTCCCGAGGGAGAGGGGAGGAAAATAACACAGCAATCGAGGTCTCCCGAGGGGGAGGGGAGGGAAATAACACAGCAATCGAGGTCTCCCGAGCGAATGTGCAGGGGGAGGGTCTGGGGAGGGGAGGGAAATAACACAGCAATCGAGGTCTCCCGAGCGAATGTGCAGGGGGGGGGGTCTGGGGAGGGAGTCATTGAGACCTTCCCCAGAAAATTTAAGATAATATTAAAATGCACTGATGCATTTTGGCGCATACCTGCAAACCTAAAATGAAGTCTTGCATCATTCGGCACCTAATGGGAGCACAACAGAATTTAAATGACTCCTGACCTTGGTGTAAAAATATGGCCGTCACGAAAAGCAAGTACACTAATTACTTACCTAAATATGTTCAATTATGCCGGATTTACGTATAAGCTAAATAAGATACTATTTAGAGCCGCGTACTCTGCTGGGGCCTTAAAAAAATCATTGTTACCTGTTTTTTCACAATATGTTATTTTAAAATTACAATTTTGAAAGTAAAACTTATATAATTTCCTTGACTAGAATTAGAAGCCGACCTGCTTTATATTATAATTTGAGCAACATGGGCCGTTTGTCAGCCTCCAAATCTAATAAGATGCTATGTCTAGGGTGAATCTCAATCTAACCGATTAACTGTCCTTTCCAGTGGTGCTACACTTATGTTTTTCTGCCCTTGTCTAATGTTTCTATGTTCAAACTCAAGAATTTAGGTTCTTTTTTCATCTCAAATATTTCTCTGAACGAAAGGTGTGTAATGCAAGATATTTTGTAAATATTTATTATTGTTATTATTAGTATTAATATTATTATCATTAGTGGTCTTATATTGCGCGGTACCCCAGCCTAGGGCCTTTTGAATGGTTTTAAAATAATTTACACAAAATTAACTCTGCGCATCACTAAACTAGATTTATCATGAACCTGCTTGATAGTCACATGACTCAATCACATGTTAAACAACCCTTAAAAATTAAGTTTTTTCGCATAAATCCTTATAAATTGTAATACCGGGCAATGGGGAGTGGAGCTGAAAATTTGACAAAACATGCATGGGACGTCCATTAATTATGTCAACAAAATAGGGGGTAGGGGGTTTTGAAATGTTTGACAAGTGTTGAGGGTGGGGGGGGGGGTAGATTAATTGACGTCAACAATCCTGTTTTCTCTCTTAAAATTGTAATGTTATAAATTAAATAGTTATAACAATATTTTTTTTTTTTAAAATGAGTGTATGTTTGCGATCGTGTTGCAGGTATGGAACAAGGACAAGATTCAAGTGTCATGTGCAATCAAGATTAATGATATTGATAGAAAGGGAATACGATATTTTGAGAATTATGGGAAAGTAATGTGAGTAACAATAATAACTTTGCTGCTTGAACAGATTTGCAAAATCTGTNGGGGGGGGGTGGGCGGGATTGTTGATTTTCTGGTGGTGTGGGGGGGGGGGCTGTGCGATTTGCAAGTGACCAGAGGTGTAGCTAAGGGGTGGCGAATGGGGCCTATATCCCGGGGCACCAGACTAGCCGGGGGGGTGGGGGCAAAATGGGCTTTGGTGTTATTTAATGGTTGAAAATAATCAGTTTCAGAATTGTGAGGGAGGAGGGGCATAAAAATTAATCTTGTCCCCTGACGCCAAATACTGTAGACAAGCCCCTGCTAGTGTCGTGGAAATAGGGCTTATTGGGGGAGGGGGGGTCCACCCAGGTGTCACTTTCTCTTTTTATGCAGCAGAGCCGTTCTTTGGATTATGGGGGCCTAGACATGGAGCGCATGCAGGGGGCCCCGGAAAGAGAGTCCGGGGGCGGAGTTCCCCCTGAGCCGAGGAGAAAACATCACCCACCAGTGCGGCACCTCCCCTTTGCCTTCGTTACTGTTTCCTCTTTGCTCGCGTGTAACCACTTAACATATTGATAATTCCGCCACTGAAGAAAATGTGTGTTTCTAAAATATCTGGACTCGCAAGTTGTAGGCTTACAAAAAGCGCCCGGTGGAACCTCTTTGGCAGTGGGGCACTAGGAGGTCGCCTACTTTGCCTATGCCTAAGAACGGCTCTGTATGCAGGAGTTGCATCTCCAGACAACTGCGGAGTTTGTATCGTGAAAGGGAGGACGGCAAAACTATTTGCCCGCCCATGGCGGCACTACTAGTAGCTCCGCCATTAGGCAGGGTATCAATCGATACCGAAATCGGCGATCACTGTCATCGGGGAGTAGGACGGGTGTTGAGGGCGCCGATGTCTCTTGATTGGTGGAGGGGGCTGCTCCCCAGACACGTTTTGATGATTTCATGAATTCAATGTTTCTATTATACTTTTTGAACGGGGAAAGACATTTTTAAGGTTTTGTGGAAGGCATTGTTTTGCCCAGTGCCCTACATGAACTGAATTCACTCAGCTTATGGCGTGCCCCAGAGTAAGCATTTGTTACAAGCTTATAATTAACCCCATACTGTAACATTGATCAGAGTGAGTGAAGGGGGTGCAGAAATTTAGAAAATTTAGTAGTTTTTATTTTAAAAAAAAAGTATTTAATCTTTATATTGTTGTACCCATTTTGCTTGGGGGGGGGGGGGCAATTGACTTTCCCAGAGGGGGGCAATGCCCCCCCCCCCCCCAGATCTGGCTGAAAGAAACCCTGATCACACGTCATGTTGAAAAAGCAAGTTCAACAGCACTGAAAATGCACTGAAGATAAGTACAAACACATTTTGGAGATAATTCAACAAGATACGGCGTACGGAGTTATATTAACTAGACATCAACTTTTATAGTGCATTTAATCTCTGGATAATACAATCATTATACAATATTGTTCAAATGCTGTTTATTTAAAGAAAGGACAATCCATTATTTACTTAAGTCTTAGTAAAGTATTAAGTCTCTGTTTCATGTGCCAGACAACCAGGTAACGAACTGCCAGACAACCAGGTAACGAACTGCCATTTCAGAAGAATTGTTTTCAAATGTTTGTGTGTGTGAACAAGTCTTTAAAAAATCTCACAGAACTAATTTTAATTGCTCCTCACACACGTAATGTTTCCATTCTAAGACAACCTGTTTAAGGTATTTGATTAAAAATTGTAAGGCTTGTGTTTATCAAAAAAGAAAGTCATTTTATTGAGTTCCATCTACTGTGGGCACATAGATAATAATATCTAAGGAAAGAGGCCTGAAAAATACTTGGGTGTATAATTCTTCTTGTTTGTATAAAAAAAACAATCAGATTTTCAGTGATATGAATATGGCTACTTTGTTTCATGCGTTTAGAAACAATTATCTTCCTGGGGAACACGTGGAAATACTTTTTGCCATGAAAAGTTATACATAAATTGTTAAGCTCATGGCAATGTCACAAAGATTGCACAGATAAGAAGTTTTTTAAAAATTAAAAAATGTAACTATTTTTTTCTAGATGCCCTACTACAAATTTTACCTAACCAGTTTTTATGGTAAAGTTGTTCAGCAAGGTTTCCAATTTCTCATTAATGGTTGATCAAATCTTCACCTTTTAACTTAACTCACACAAGAGAGTCAATGTCAATTCTTTAATTATCACATTAAAGATCCATTTTTCACACACAAACATCAATTCAAAGAGGTATCGGGTATATCATTCCTATAAAATAAATATCAACAATATGGGGTGTGTCATTGTATTGTACCGTACCTTATACATATCTCAAAGCGCAGCTCATCAAAGT